TGCGTCTCCGGCCTGTTTTGGCGTATTTGCTTTTCTGGCATGTTTAGCTCAAGCAAAAGCGACTGGAGCAGAAAACCCTTTGGACATCAAATTCATGTTTCGTTTGCCGGCATGTTTACCTAGCTGCGTCTCCGGCCTGTTTTGGCGTATTTGCTTTTCTGGCATGTTTAGCTCAAGCAAAAGCGACTGGAGCAGAAAACCCTTTGGACATCAAATTCATGTTTCGTTTGCCGGCATGTTTACCTAGCTGCGTCTCCGGCCTGTTTTGGCGTGTTTGCTTTTCTGGCCCTGTTTAGCTCAAGCAAAAGCGACTGGAGCAGAAAACCCTTTGGACATCAAATTCATTTTTCGTTTGCCGGCATGTTTACCTAGCTGCGTCTCCGGCATGTTTTATGTTCCGGGACGTTTATTTCATCGGCCTGTTTTGGCATGTTTGCTTTTCTGGCATGTTTAATTGCTTTCTTCTTTCGGTCTGTTTCATGTCCATTCACATTTGCGGCCAGGTGGTTGTCTTCTTTGTGGTTGCTACGACAGGCAGGGTCGGACTCCTCTTGAGCAACGCTGTGTGGCGCAGATCAAGCTCTTTGCGTGGAGAGTATGATGATGTTCATCAGTTTTGGTCGTTGTTGCCCTAACATTCTTTCGGCCTGCTGCATTTCCATTCACATTTGCGGCCAGGTGGTTGTCTTCTTTGTGGTCGCTACGACAGGCAGGGCCCAACTGCGCTTGAGCAACGCTGTGCAGCGCAGACATGACAATGGCGTCAATTTTTTTCATGCAGACTCTCAGCTTTGACAACCAGCTCCATATACGTGCTCTGTCCTTTTGCGCCCAGGTACTTTTCCGCTCTTGCATCGTCATCGGGCCTGTGACCTTAGGGCAGGCGCGGCTTTCTTCGTAGTTCACCGTTTGCAGTCGTCCACAAACTCTCCTAGATTTGTGCAGTGACAGCTGGAAGTGACATGCTTTGATGTCTCTACGTGGAATCTTGGCGCATTGTTTGTTTCCAGCTCTGAGTTCTGCATGCACATGACAACCCATACCGTCAGCACAGCAACGTTCCAAAACAGTCACTTGCATTCGTTGAATGAAAAGACGCACTTGCATTTGTTGAACATGGTTGCTTCGACATCTGCACCCCTGGGGTCAAATATTAAAAATCCTGGCGTCATGTTTTTTCCGCCTGCTACCCGTGGCCTTGTGAGTGTGGAGTCGGGCGATTTGATGGCAAGCGAAATCGTGCCAGTTCCATGCGAATGTTAGGCGAGTGCAAACCTGACCAGAAGAAAAATGTTTGCCAGGGCGTATGATATCCTTTTGAAATTTAGAGGACGAAGCTGCGTGCAAGACAGGATGATCTGGATTGGTACCGAAGGGGGACGCGACTGTTATGCGTTGCAAACATACAGACTCTGTTGCAAATGGTTTGCCCCTCGGAATCGACGGGATGATTCAGATGTCCACGCTCGTGCTTTTGCTGCGTCCAGCACTTGCGCGTCTCTTCCAGTTGCGCCTCATGTTCCCGTGGCGCATACTTTCGCAAGACAGCTGGTGCAAGGAAACCAAGGAGAGTGGCTGGATGTTGACTACATTCTGATTGATTTCGTTGGGCCAAGCATGATGTCCTGGTTAATGACCGTCAATCATCAGTGGACTGGTGCATCGTCGGAGATGTTACGGAAATCTTTTCTGTCCCTGATGCTTTTGTGCCACCGCTCCCACCTGAGCAACCTGTCTTGGGATCAGGAACTTCTATCTGGGTCGCTCTGCTATGATGTTGTCAAGAGACGCTGGTTCTGGGACGATGCTGCCGCTTTAGACGAGCAGACAGTGCGTATCTCTTGCGCGAGAGAGCCTGACACAGAGCTGCGCGCCTGCTTATGCATGAGTTGCAGGCCTACATGTATGCCAAAGCAGATGCTCACTCTGTCTTTGTCCAGTGGCAAGAATGGCTGCGTATTCATTTGGGCGAGACAAAAGGATCGAACATCGATGTTGCCGGCATTGCAGTAAATCTAGGCCTCGATCACCCGGAGCCGCCGTGACACAATGGCCATTTGGATTTTCACAGATAACATTGGAGGATCGGTTTAGATTTTGACCCAATGTGGGAAGAAATCGCATGGCGAGCACTGACATTCGCTTTCTTATCTGCTGTTTTGGCTGCCGGCATTGTTGATTCAATGTGGAAAGACATGCCAAGCAGATGACGTTGGAACGCACAGTGATCCGGAATGGCTTGGCGCAACGTGCAAAGAGCCCAATCTCAGTCACACTGCGTGCGGTTGACATATTTGGGAAAAGACTGCACAGGTAGCATCATAACCATGGTGCTTGCCACTTTTGGAAAGATGAAGAAACTGTGACTGTGTCGCAACTTGACAGGCATGCACTCTGTGTCTAGATATATTGTACGTGTCTTTCATAGTTGCATTCACAACCAGCTACATTCGTGTTCTACACTTTTGCGACCAGGTACCTTTCCTCTATGTCATCATCGTCTGATTCGTGGCTGTAGGACAGGCGCGGCTGTCACGTAGAACATCTCGTTGCACCACATGGAGCACAGAAGATCATGGCACACCTCATTCCGCCCATTCCAGGTCCGCAGTGATGCCGCATGCCGGGCAGATGACATTGGAGCGCTAGCGAAAAAAAGAATGTCTGCACAGACGTCGTACTCACGTCACTTTCACACACACACACCATCTTTCACACACAACTTTGTCTCACACACACACACAGACATACATACATACATACATACATACATGCATGCATGCATGCATGCATACATACATACATACATACACACACATACACACATAAATACATACGTACATGCATACTATCTTTTCACATACCTTCTTGCTTTGTCACACACCATCTTTCACATTCCACTCTGTCACACACAACTGTTTTAACTTTTCGATCCTTCACCACCTCCTTTCCCTTTCCTTCCTTCCCCGTCCCTGCTACAACCTTTGATGCTCATTATTGGAAGAAGTTGACTTGTGGGGTTATCCGGTCCTTTAATTTTTGTTTTTCTTTGCTAGCTGTGCGCTCACCAGGCTTTTACTTTGATCTAAGAAGTATCAACATGACGTGAATTTTGCCGTTGAGGTTTTCCAAGTGCATGTTGGGGTTCCCTACAATCAGGGCCCACACCATGCAGCAATGCAATGAGAGTGATTGGCAAGGCAATCGTTTCTCTAAGACAGCACGCCATTCAAGAATTGACTTGCCTCGGGCAAGCACATTCCCGCCAAGGTATGCGCACCTCAGTTTGAAGCACACATTTAATTACACATCCCTACCCCCTCAAACGGGAAGGGGAAGGGAGTCCACTGTGTGTCTCCACCTCCATCTCGTTCTCTTTCCCTCTCCCTTTCTCCTTCTCCGTCTCTGTCTTTCTACCTCTCTATCCCTCTCTCTCTCTCTATCTATCTCTCTCTCTCTCTCCCTCTCTCCCTCTCTCCCTGCCCCCCTCTCTCTATCTCTCTATCCCTCTATCTCTCTATCTCTCTATCTCTCTATCTTTCTATCTCTCTATCTCTCTATCTCTCTATCTCTCTATCTCTCTATCTCTCTATCTCTCTGTCCCTATCCCTATCCCCATCACTATCTCTATCCCTATCCCCATCGCTATCTCTATCTCTGTCTCTATCCCTATCGATATCGCTATCTCCTCTATCCCTCTCCGTATCCCTATCGCTATCTCTATTTCTATCTCCATATCTAGCTCCATCCCTATCCCTATCCCCATCGCTATCGCTATCTCTATCTCCATCTCTATCCCTATCGCTATCTCTATCTCTGTCTCTATCCCTATCGCTATCCCTATCGCTATCTCTATCCCTGTCCCTATCGCTATCTCTATCTCTTTCCCTATCCCTATCTCTATCTCTATCCCTGTCCCTATCGCTACCGCTATCGCTATCTCTATCCCTATCGCTATCTCTATCCCTGTCCCTATCGCTATCTCTATCTCTATCCCTATCCCTATCGCTACCGCTATCGCTATCTCTATCTCTATCTTTATCGTTAACTTTATCTCCATCTCTATCTCTATCTGGAAGGCACATCTCCTCGACCTTCTGATTCCATGTGTTAGCGACAAACCTGGACTATGCTGGTTGCTAGCTGCTAGCTCCAGCAAGTGACTGGCATCTTCTGTAACAACCTGCGTATCTGTCACTCGTCCTCCATGTCGCCAGATTTTCGAAAAAACACCGCTAGCACCTGCACGTCGAACTCTCAGGTTCCCATCACTCAAGGTTGCTCTCAGGCGGTTGAAGACCTTGTCCAAACATATGATTCGCACAGGTATTGCGCTTGTGAAATCCATTGGTTGACACCGCTGGCTGCCTAGTGTTGTCCAAAAGATTTCAAAACCGAATTCAAATTAGCAAACTGGAGTTGTCAGGGAACTTGCAATCGAGTTTTTATCATATATTGTTGATGTGTTTGCCGGGTTCCAAGGTCCAAACCAATTTTCCTGCATCTTCATCAAGGCGCATAAACTGTTCCAATGCATCCTGAGGCAGCACTGTTCATGATGAAGCTACCATTGAAGAAGATCACATTCTTCGTCGACTTGACAGCTGACCAAAATGACACTAAAGTAAAGTGAAAATTAGGTTTTGCAACGCGTTGCATCTGAGTTAGACAAACCTTCCGACTCCGCCAGTGGTCATCCGTCAGGCACCTCAGCCAAAGTCAATCACTTCCAAGGAGTGAATATTTTTTGCGCAATTTTGCACACTGCTGGCTGCAAATGGCAGGACTGGCCCTGGCCCACAAGCCAAGGCACACAGCAAGTTCTGGCGCTGTCGATGGCATGCTGCCACATTAAGTTTTTGCGTTGGGTAAGTTTTTGCCCTGAACCTTCATGTAAAAATCACAGTGTCACATATGTATGTAGTTGGAAACCCTACGGATCAACCTGTTCTGGATTTAAACCGAGTGTCCTTCGTGGAAACTATGGCCACGTCAAACTACTGCACTCTTGTCAGCCAACTTCATACTTGATTCTGGCCGCGTGCGCATTGCGGAATGATAGACCACGGACTGCAGACACTTGCGCACATCGATGGCCCGGCAGCCACCAAAAATATCACGATTGGTGCAATGTCGCTAGTACAGGGGGCTAAAAAACAAAGATATTGTTCCAATCTTATTCATGTGACTCATCTCTGAGCGACAAAAAATGTTCATACATTGGGTCACCAACTTGAACCCCAGCACAACTTCAGCCAATGAACAACATGAACAGTCATAAATCATTAGCTAGAGAGCACGTCTTCACGCAAACCTGTATTTTACCAACCCCATTCGAAAAAATGTGCCGTATCAACGCCGGGTTTTCCACATCACTGCAGCGACTAAACGTGCCACATTCAGAACAACAGATGTTGCGCTCATCTGACGCCGTGATCCAAAACATTCGGATATGGCTCTCGGTCCCGGATGCGGCACCTGGATCTTCATGTTTGCCACCCGCACTGGTTCCCAGAGCTGCCAGAAAGACTTCCTCGCTGACCGGAAGTTCGGACACCTTGAGCGACCACTTCTCGCATGCTTCAAAAAAACTCGCAAACTGCTCGAGGCCGTGCTGGAATCAGAAATGATTGCACGGTCACATAGCGAGAGCAAAACCAGCGGTTCCACTTCTAAACCACGTGTTAACAGCCGAAACACAGTTCCACACAAAGCATCACCATTGTAATGTCTAGGGTAAACAATGTCAGAACCCAAGACCAAATCCAGTACAGGAGGAACTTCAGAAGGAATGTCCGGTTGCTTCTCCCAATCCCACTGTAGAGGCGTCACAGCTGTGGTGCGGCTTGTGGATATGTTGTGTTCTAGGTTCATGAATCCGTGTTCCGCTCCTTCCACGGCTAAAATGTTTTGAGCCCCTGCGTTTGCCAGTGACAAGGCCAAAAATCCTGTGCCAGCTCCAAGTTCGATGATTTTGGCGCCCCGCAATGTTGCACCCAATTGCGCTTCCAAATTGGTCTGCAACCAAAGCAGCAAAACTCGGGCAGCAGGCCACACAATGCAACACGGATCGTCATCAAACTCACGCACCTCATGCACATTCAACAATTGTTCACCACCCTCACGCTCCACCATTCGCAGAACAAGGTATGCCAATCTTCCGCAGCCTTGGGAGGTTCTGATGTTGCGCAGGAACTTCTAATTTGAGTTGGTTGGCTGCGGTGGGTTGCAAGATTGGGCGGCGCATTGAAAACTACACGGCAATGCGGCCGGAAAGAAAGCAGAAGGGAGAACACGAGAAGATACTACACATGAAGAAAAAACGATCGATGACGGATGGTTGATGATAAACGATTATGAAGGATGAATGATGAATGATAAATGACGAATGACAAATGACGAATGATGAATGATGAATGACGCATGATGACTGACTGATGATTGACTGATGATTTTTGGGTGGTGATTGATGATTGCTTGATATTTTTTGTCTCCACATGCAGTTTGTCCAGGGCTGGTGCCTGATTGACAATCACAAAAACAATGCCCGCGGAATTTGTTTTCACAGGAAATCAAGCCAAGAACAGTCAGCTTATTTTCCTTGAGCCATTGCAGCGTAGTATAGAGAAATTACTATGTACATGCGCGCATACTAGCTAAAAACACGCCCCACCGCCCGTAGCAGAACAGAGGCAGGAAGTCGCAATGCGTACCAAGAAAGAAGCACATAGGCACAAGTGGCGATGGATATCAATAAAGATAGAATGAACCCAAATAACCGATGATGCTTATGAAAAAAAAGAATGTAGGTAGCAAGGAAAACCCATTAAAAAATAAAAGCGGGTGGGGGGGTGCAGGGGGGAGGGCGCAGCGCCTGCCCCCGCAATGCGCACCAAGAAAGAAGCACATAGGCACAAGTGGCGATGGATATCAATAAAGATAATATGAACCCAAATAACCGATGATGCTTATGAAAAAGGGAAAGGGTGTAGGTAGCAAGGGAAGCCCATTAAAAAAGGCAGGGGGAGGGCGCAGCGCCTCCCCCCGCAACGCACACCAAGAAAGAAGCACATAGGCTCAAGTCTCGATGGATATAAATACAGATTGAGAAAGAGAACATCCACCCAAAGAAACGATGCTTATGAAAAAAAGGAAAGAGAGCAGGTAGCAAGGGAAACCGATTAAAAAATAAAAGCGGGTGAAGGGGTGCAGGGGGGAGGGCGCAGCGCCTCCCCCCGCAATGCGTACCAAGAAAGAAGTAAATAGGCACAAGTGGCGATGGATATCAATAAAGATAAAATGAACCCAAATAACCGATGATGCTTATGAAAAAAAAAATGTAGGTAGCAAGGAATGCCCATTAAAAAATAAAAGCGGGTGGGGGGGTGCAGAGGGGAGGAGGGCGCAGCGCCTTCCCCCCGCAATGCATACCAAGAAAGAAGCACATAGGCACAAGTGGCGATGGATATCAATAAAGATAATATGAACCCAAATAACCGATGATGCTTATGAAAAAGGGAAAGGGTGTAGGTAGCAAGGGAAGCCCATTAAAAAATAAAAGCGGGTGGGGGGGTGCAGGGGGGAGGGCGCAGCGCTTGCCCCCGCCATGCGCACCAAGAAAGAAGCACATGGGCACAAGTGGCGATGGATAGCAATAAAGATAAAATGAATCCAAATAACCGATGATGCTTATGAGAGACGGAAAAAGTGCAGGTAGCAAGGGTAACCGATGATGCTTATGAAAAAAGGAAACGGTGTAGGTAGCAAGGGAAGCCCTTGAAAATAAAAGCGTCCCCCCGCAATGCGTACCAAGAAAGAAGTACATAGGCACAAGTGGCGATGGATATCAATAAAGATACAATGAACCCAAATAACCCATGATGCTTATGAGAAAATGTGAGCGGGAGCGCACTTTTCTCGAGCCTTAAAAGCCTCACGATACGTACATGGGTTTTCCATGTAACTGCATTGGAACTTGTTACACTTCTCACATGATTTGTGCATGTCATCCTGGCATGAAGTGCAGTCAAAAATGATTTGCACTCCTCCTCGGCACTGTGCAGACCTTTGACTCTCAGTGCCGTCTGCCATTTTCGTAAAATTCCAGCGCACACCCAGCCGTATTTTGCTGGATGTTCACCACAAAAAATCCATTGAGTTCTCATGCATCTCCTCGAAAGTGTGCACACCTACGTCCGTAGTAGAGACTGCTTTGCAATCTGTTCTGACTTCTGGCTGTCTCTGACATTTGGAAGAGCAGATCCGCAATCCTTCTGCTGTAGTTTTCCACCGTCTCATTCGTTACTCCATTTCTGATATTATTCAACATCTGCATCATTATGCGTTGGATTCTCACTGCATCGTTTGGCTCGTTTCTTTGTTGAGCCAATCTGAACTCTATTTTCAATTCCTCCATCAAGTCTGTCATGCTGGGATCTTGTAGAAGTCTTGCTGCTGTCACTTCGTCACCTGTTGCATTTTCACTCTCTTCTGTCTCTTCTGTATTTTGGTTTCCACTCATCTGCACATCTGTTGTTTCTCCACCTTCCACATACGCACGTTGTCTCACCAGGTTGAGGTATTGCCCTGCTCCCATCGCATTGAAAGCTACCAAGTTGGCTCTTTCCTGGTTTCAAATCGCTTGGCTCGACTCCAAATGGAAAACGCAAGAATCCACCCAGTTCCACAACTGAATAGTGAAGTCCAACCATGAAGTCGTGACTCATCGACGCCTCATTGCTTGCTTCTGTAAGACGTCCATCAATCATCATGAATTGATTGTGAAGTCCATCGATTCTGGCAGCTTGTTGGGCAATGTAATTGTCCTCGTCTGCAACCTGAGTCCAGCAGTAGTGGATGTCCCACTCTGCCTTGTCCAGCTTCTGTGCGTACGTGTTGAGGTTCTCTTGCATTTTTCTCCATGCAAACCATGCCATGTATGCAAAAAGAAACCATAGAACCAGCAAAATGAAAATCACCAACCACATTCCAAAGTGCTCCTGGCGCTCGACCGCGTCAAAGTTCACGCTGGGGCATTGTTCATTCACCTCAGCACTCTCTGCAACCACAGGCCAAAGGCCTTGCACTGTAAGAAGTCGTGTGATTTTTCTCATCATCTTTGCCAGCTTTGTGATCTCCTTCTTGTTGGTTTCTTGTTCTGTCACATTGTTGTACTCATCCATTCCCAGAGGTTCGGTTGTTTTAGCATCAACCATACCAATCCCACAAAGTAGGAAGAGTAGCCTTGCACGTGGTAGGCTCTTCGTTCCAACATCGCTGAAATTCCACAGGGTTGGTACTTGATGAATAACAACACTGCCATCCATGACTTTTGATTGCATCCAAAGAAGCTTTCCCGACAAATGTCTGATTCGTCCAACTCCTTGCCTTGAAATCAGCTGTCTTGCCGCTGAATTGTAAGTGAACTGATGGTGTTCAACTTCTCCAGACACAAGAAGCTGCAAACAGCTTCGAATGAAAATTCCATCGCAACAACCACCAACCATACTGCGCAACTCGCTTTCAGCTGATGAAAGTGAAATCACCTTCTGCGAACGACGTGAGCCAAAGCAGAAGCATCCATTCAGGAAGTGAATTGAGCAGCTAGTGCTCCTCCTGTGTGCTTTGTTTGAATTCCAGTCTGCATCCGTATATGTTTCAAGAAGCCAAAATGCTTCTGTGCCTTGCTTGAACTTTCCAACTCCATGCTCCGGAAACGGTAGCTTGACACCAATGTCACCTGTGTGTTTGATGAACCCGATCAGCTTCCTGAGTCTTTGAACTGAGCATAGGGAAGGTGAGGACATAGTTGACGCAAGCTCTTTGACCACAAACATGATGTCAGCTCGGTCACGTGATAGGTACAAGAGCAATCCTATCACACTTCTGTAGTTCTTTGCATCTGCTGCTGAAAGCTTTTGCGCACCGTTTTCTTGTTGCAGAGCTGAATCACTGGGTGCCTTCTGCAAACGCGCATGAACAAAGTGTTTCTCAAAACACTCAACCACCTTTGCTGCTGAAGTTCCTGGCGCGATCATCATTCCATCACTCAACATCACAAGTCTTCGCTTCAAGAAATCGATCTCGGTTCCTGTTCCACCAAGCAGTTTGTAGCTCACACTGAACTTTTGTTGCATCGTTGGAAGAAACTTCTGAGTCCAGACCTTTCGGCTTCCTGCAAAGAGTAGTTCATTAACGTGCACCATGAAGACATTTCCTTCACATTTCGCAAGACATGGTTGAACTGAGCACCATTCGAAATTCATGCTGCTTGTCACACATTCTCTGAAATACCAGTACCATGCTTTCGCTCCAAGTCTCTGACCAGGAAGGTTTCTCAGCACAACGTATTCAGTTCCATGTAAGTTCACTGAAACCACATGTTGCTGGGGCACTTGCAAAAAGGCATCCTTGATGTCGAGTGCAGCTAAGACGACATCGTAGTTTTCCTTGCCCAACTCGCTCAACTCCAACTGTTTCAACATCTGAAGAAAGACAATTGGCACAAGGTTTGATGTATACATCCAGTTGCAGGTGAATACACATCATCACGTTTGTCATTTGCAAATTTTCTTGCAACATATCTGCTACGTCGCATCCATCTTTTTGTTTCACCTTTCCACAAACTGTTGTCACCATCATACGTTTTCAGTCGCCAGTCGTAAACAAACCTCGTTGTCAAAGTGCCGCTGATTTCACCTTTGAAGGGGCAATTTTTTTGCAAAACTCCCATGCCAAGTAAACGCTGAATTTCAACCTCATCCGCAAGCATGTCAACCCAAGGTTCAGGTTGTCCTGGAACAACATCAACTGGCGAGTTCGACCAAAGTTCTTCAGGAACATTGGAAAATTGCAAATTTTCCTCGTCACCCCAAATGTCCTCCTTTTCGACCTCATCATCAGCTGTATCTAACCGAGGCTCATTGCTGTAATCATCCAGGGTGTGATATTCATCGTCACCAATTTTCACTGTTCTGATGACCTTCTCTTGCTGTTCACGCAACATTCCAATTCTTTGTTCTTCTGTTCCTCAACTCTCGCTTTCTTTGCATCATGTTCTTCTTCACCAGTCTCATCATGAGCACGACTGGTGGGTGAAACACGTGGACTGGGAGGCTGTAGTGGTAGATCTTGGAGAGGAGTTCGTGGCACATGCAAATCATCATCTGCCAGCTCTTGCTCCATTTCTGCCAGAAAGCTCATGTCAAATTCCTCCTCACCACGCACGTTCGTAGTTGTTGCTGCAAACGAAGCATCTGCTGCAGTCTGTTGTGGGTTTCCCGCAACTTCTCCAGGCAAAGTGTTTGAACTGCCCTGCAAACGTTTGTTGGTTGGGTCCTCAATGCCCATTGCTTTTGTTTTTTTTTCCTCGTTTTTTCTTCTTCAGCTTTCTTTCTCACTGCAGCGCCATCAGCATCATGAAACTGTGATGGCGAGATTGGACCCAGAGGCTGTTGTTGAGAAGCAGAAATTGGATCCACCGTGCGCTTTGTCGGAATGACACGTCCTCCAAAACCAGCTTTAAACCTCCAAGTCGGTGCATCAAAGTGGATGAAGAAACCAAGGTGTGACTTCCAGTCAGATTGAATGCATCTCACACTCCTCGCAAGCATCACATTGGTGCCAGTGTAAACCACAAAAGTATTTTGTCCCTCAGTTTTGCCAAGGATACGGGTTCTTTTCCATTTCGGGTTTCCTTTGTGGCTTGTGTGAGTGTAGGCGAACAGTGGCTCCCCAAACTCAGCAAGTTTCCCTTTGTAAGGTTTTCAATACACCAACTCATATGGTGTGCATCCATGTACCACTGCATACCTGTTCAAAAGGCAGCTTGCATGACGCATTGCACATGACCATATGCTGTCGTTCGTACTCAATTCCAGTGAAGGTTTTTTCCTGGACATGGTATATACATCAAAGACCCGGCCAAACTTCTAACCCTTTGCACAGTGTTTTCGCACAATGCATTTCCATGGCTATAAGCTGCAGGGGTTTTGCCACGTGTGGCCAAGCCCAGTGCCAATCGAGCACGTACTGCACGTTGTTGAACTTGTCTGATGCTGGGTTCGTTGTTGCACAAGTACACACATTCTGAATGGCCAAGACTTTGAGTGAACTGCAGAATCTCTTTCACCATCAAGTCAAACTGTGATTTTGCTTGAATGCGAATGCAACCAGTGAAGTTTGTTTGAGAATCCACCAGTATCAACGCAATGACCTGCGCTGTGTTGTTGACATTGCCACCTGCTCCAACTGCACGTGTGTATGCAAAGTCAAATGATACTGTGGGAACCTCACCAGCCTTGACACCATCATCACGTAGCTGTCGATCTTGCCTTGCTCGATGTGCCACACATGCTGGGCACCAATCCTTGTAGGGGACATGAGCCAGTTGATGCAGGAGTTGCTCCTCCTCAGATGGCGGTTCGGCCAAATCCTGTGGGCGTGGGGCACGCTGTTGGGACATCTCTGCTTCCTTTGCTGCAATCAGAGCTGTTTGTAACTCCAATCTCTTCTGAAACTCCCACAACCTCTCAAAGCAACGTTTCTTTCCACCAGAACTTGAAAGCTGATAAAACGTGCGTGCTTCTCGCATCGTGGCCAAAGCTCTGTCTTTCTAGATTTCAACTCCATTCACATTCAAATGACCACCCCTTTCTGGAGACAGGACCAAATTGCCTTGAATTTCTGCACCATCAACTGCTGCTTGCTGAACTACCATGTCAACACCAACAATTTCTGCATCTTCGGGTGCCAAGGGTGCTGCTTCAGGTGCCATCTCATCATGCATTTCCTGTCGATGAAGTGGCTGCTGGCCTTCATCAAGCATGTGAAATCCCATGACCTGTGGTGGTCTGCTCTCTGAGTCAGTGACACATACCTATCACCAGCAAGTCCATGAAATTCAGACGAAAGGTCAATGAGGGCACCCAACCGTTCACAAAGCTCCATGACAAGCCATTGACCCCCATCACGCACCAAAGTTGTACGATATTTTGAACCTGCCATTGAAGGAACCACCAACGTGGGATCTTGGAAACAGTTTGAGAAATGTTTTCCACGTCCATCACCTTGATCATTGAGTTGCCAACCCACACGCATTTCTCCAAGATCTGCATCAGCCATAACCGCCTTGACAACCATGGGTTCACCTTGTTCTTCCTTCAAAATTCGAATCCAACCACGCACTGCAAGAGATTGATTTTGCATCTCACTCGGAATGCTAACACCACAACTGTGCTCAAGTGTGCATTCTGCTGCATTGACACCCCATCCATTGGCCATGAAGTCACCAAAACACATGATTGGTTGTTGAATCTGCCTGCTCACAACTATAGTTTCTCTGGGGGCCACTGATCACTGACTTACCATTGCTGTCTGCCAAGTGCAGCTCGCTGTCTCGCTTAGCCTCAACGGGAATGACGTTCCCCTGAGCATCCTGAAGCTTTGTAACAGGCCTATCAGATTCAGTTCCAAGTCCAGCCATGCACGCAGGAAAAATGTTTGCATCTGCACCACTGTCCAACAAAACACTGCACATGTTGGAATCATCAGGCATTGTTTCAACTTTCAACCATTGCACGCACTGAACCATGAATGCACAACTCAGGCTCGGACTCATGACAGGGTTTCTCAAATCAAAACCGAGTTCATCATGCCTTGAAACATCTGAAGTATTTTCACAGTCATGAATTCTGGCAACCCTGAATTGAGTTGCGGACCGCTGATGTGGACCACTGGAGCTAGGGGATCCACCGGCTGTTGCATGTGAAGGGGTAAGAGACGATTGTGAAGCGTGAGGATTCGGTAGTTGTTGACCCTCATGTTGCATGTTTCGAACACTTGCCCCCCAAGCATAGCTGTCTTTGGCAAAATGCCCTGATTTTCCACAACGAAAGCAAACATCTGTATGAGAATTGCCTTTGCCTTTGCCACTCGTTGAGTCATATGACTTCCCACCTGCTTTGCCTTTGCTCTCGTTCTTGGACTTGCCCTTGAAACCAGACTTTCCATCATTTTTTGACTTCGATTTTCCTTTTCCTTTCTGCTGGCCTTTCTGCTGAAAGCCTTTTCCTTTGTCTTGACCTTTCTTTCCACCTCCATGGATTCTATCAATCTCCATTGGAGCAGCTGCATTGGAATCTTCTCCAGGGAAAAGAAGCCCAACCCATTTCTGTTGGCTCCTATCCCATTTCTTCACATGTTCACGCAGCTCCTTGAATGTTGTTGCATCTTGTATCGCCAGATTCAAGTAGGTTCGAAGTTGCCCACTCACGCACTTCAGCAAAATTGCCTGTTGCAACTGATCTGGAATTGTAGTTCCAGCACGCCTTGCCTCCTCCAGCGCATCTTCCAGCTTAAGGGGTTGCAGTGGTTGGCTCATTGTGAACTGTGGCCAACTCGTCAAAGCAGCCATCAAAGCCAAACCACGACCACTTGTAGATGGACGAAGAGCTAGTAAAAGTTGCCTAAGTGCTTCGTATCCATCTGTATTCCTCACACTACGTATAATGTTCGAACTCCTGCTGCGACACAGAGAAGTTAACATCCCATAGAGCTGTGTGCTGCGATTCCTTGTTTCAGCTGATGCTGTTGTCAAATCCAATGCATTCGTTGGATCATCCATCAGCTGTTGAAGTTCCTTTTCAAAACCAGCATCAATTGCATTGAGATACTGTATCAACATCCAGCTCCAATCACGAAAGGCTCGAATCTCATCTTCTGTTGTCTTATGCTCGAAAAGTGGGTGTTTATGCAGCAGTTTCGACCAGTCAACAGTTTGAGCACTACCACTTGTTGGGCTCGAAGACGGAGAAGCCGATGCTTTCTGCACAGCCTGAGCAGCTTGGGCTGCTGTTTTTGTGGCTCCAGCCACCTCCAGCAATGCCGCTTGAAAGATCTGAGGGTCCAAGGCAGCCATTGTCACCTGGAATTTCAACCTGGGACCTTGTCCACAAAGATCACGTCAAGCAACCCACCAACGTACAAACTGTAACCAAATTGCACAAGCTTTGAACCAGCCGTTGTCAAAACCTTGAATCCCAGTAAATTTCGATCCTTGAAATGCCCAAGTCTGTAACCCAAATCCCGTCCAGTCACCTGCCAGCCAAGTCCAGAAAAATCACCAGAGTCCTATGGCTAGCAGCAAGGGCGCAACGAAGGTTCAAAGACTCACAGGTAGGAAACCCTTATTGGGCTCCGCTACCATGTGAGCGGGAGCGCACTTTTCTCAAACCTTAAAGGCCTCACGATACGTACATGGGTTTTCCATGTAACTGCATTGAAACTTGTTACACTTCTCACATGATTTGTGCATGTCATCCTGGCATGAAGTGCAATCAAAAATGATTTGCTGAAAAGGAAAGAGTGCAGGTAGCAAGGGTAACTGATGATGCTTATGAAAAAAGGAAAAAGTGTAGGTAGCAAGGGAAGCCTTTAAAAAATAAAAGCGGGTGGAGGGGTGCAGGGGGGAAGGGCGCAGCGCCTCCCCCCGCAATGCGTACCAAGAAAGAAGTACATAGGCACAAGTGGCGATGGATATCAATAAAGATAAAATGAACCCAAATAACCGATGATGCTTATGAAAAAAGGAAAAAGTGTAAGTAGCAAGGGAAGCCCATTAAAAAAGGGTGGGGGAGTGCAGGAGGGAGGGCGCAGCGCCTCCCCCCGCAATGCGTACCAAGAAAGAAGCACATAGGCACAAGTGGCGATGGATATCAATAAAAATAAAATGAACCCAAATAACCGTGGAAACCAGAAAACAAAAATTATACAAACCATGAAAACTGCATACAAACCAAAAAAAACGACAGAAAACATGTATAAAGTCAATGGAAACCATGGAAACCGGAGACGCAGTATACTATAGAAACCATAGAAACCGGAGACGCTGTATAGAACCATGGAAACCGCATAGAAACCATACAAACCATGGAACCCTCACAAAACCAATTAAAACAAAACCATGGAAACCATGGAAACCGGAGACGCAGTATACAAACCATGGAAACTGCTTGGAAACCATGGAAACCATGGAAACCGCACAAAGCCACTACAAACTATGAAAACCATGGAAACCATGGAAACCATAGACGCGGTATAGAAACCATGGAAACCGCATAGAAACCATAGGATGCACAGATGAGGAAAATGTGGGGTGCACAAATGAGGAAAATTCGGGGTGCACAGATGAATGATCGCCCTCGCAGGAAAGGCCTACGCATCTATCTTGACAGAATTGTTCACGGACGCGAGCATTCTGAAGACTGGACCCAAGCTTCCCCACGCGCGGTATTCTGGAAGCACACCAAAGCAAAGATCAAACAGGTTTCCGGCCAGGAACTGGACTTGAAGATACATTTCTTGTTTTTGAGGCAATGTGTGGCAAATGTTTGGAATGGAATGCGCCACTCTGGCTTGCCAGCCTTGATTTAACAAAAATTTTTGACCGTATTGAGTATGACCCGTTTTTTTACTGCAGTGCTGGAACAAAGTGTTCCTGAGTCGCATTGTGTTTTTTTCTGGACTTTGTATCGGCAAAACTGGTTGCCTTCATGATGGAAGCACACTTGCAATACAAAGGGGGGTTAAGCAAGGTGATGTCATCAGCCCTATTTTGTTCAACGCCACCTTGGAATCAGCAATGCGCAAGTGGAAACTGAAGTTGCAGCATCATTGATGGAGTGTATATCGGTGCGTATGAACGTCTTACCAACATCCGTTATCCTGACAACTTGTTGATATATGCCCTTCCCCGCAATGATTTTGTGCACATGGTTGACGAACCCACCACTCAACTTAAAGCCACGGAATGCAAGCAAAAACCAAATTTTTCTCCACCCTCGAACTGGGTGATATGTCCCATGTGGAAATAAGCGGTTCTTTAGAAATAATTTTGCAAGGCGCAGCGACACATAAGTACTTGGGCGGGTTGATCGTTGGCAACTTGAAGAAAAAATCCGAAACTGAACCCGCACATCGTTTGCAGATCGTTTGGGCGAAATTTCACAGAAACAGACACGTCCTGACCAACCGTCATGTTTCCTTAAAGTTGCGGCTGAAATATTTTGATGCTATGATCTCTCCAGTTGTGTCGTTTGGTTTGGCCTCCTTACCCTTGATCGCATCGCAGGTTCAAAGGGTGAATGTTGTGCAATGCCGGATGCTTTGTGCAGTTGTTGGTTGGGTAGCCGTGGACGGCAACGATTGGAGGGGCACCATGCGCGGAATGAACGATAAAGTAAGACATATTTTATTTTTTTCCTCTTGTTAACAGATGGTTTGATGCCTTATTCAAACGCCAGTTTCGTCTTGCTGCACGTATAGCTAGTTCAAACACCTGGCCTAGATTTGCGACGCTTTGGGACCCTCTTGACCCGCAATTTCGATTCGAAACCATTCCATGCACCTGGACACCCACAGCAAAGATGGGATGATGTGCTTCAAAAATTTTGTGAGCATTGCTATTGTGACACTGTTTGGTTCCAACATGCTCGTGACTCTGGTTTCCCTTGGAAATAAATTTGTGCAGTTTTGCGGTGGACAGTTTTCGTAATAGTTTGCTGGTTTGTCCCGTGTCCTGAAAAGACCGTCGTCATGACCTGACTCGGACGGGCGAAAGAGAAACAGAAAAGTGTGTATTTTCTGACATGTACCGTATGTGTTGAAAATTGTCTTCAAAATGTGCGTTTTGGAATTCATTTTGGACATATCTAAAAATATCTAAATTTTTGTAGCATCTTGCATCCATCAACCACCATAAAGGGAATAATGGTTTCTCAAATTCCCCGT